TCAGTTTTGTTGGCCTATGATGAATAAAGAAGTAAGGAAATGGGCACACACGTGCTTAGCTTGTCAAAAGTGTAAGGCAGTGATACACACCAAAACCCTCTCGGCGCCTTTCTTATCCCTGACGCTCGTTTCGAACACGTCCATATGGATTTGGTTGGACCCCTTCCAGATTCTCATGGATATACCTATATCTTAGCCTGCATTGACCATTTCGCACGTTGGCCTGAAGCAGTACCCCTCAAGGTTGTATCTGCTGAAACAGTCGCACGCGTCTTTGACGAAAGATAGATCGCGAAATTTCGATGTCCATTCGAAAGCGGCTTATTCTTAGCCTTGACTAAAATCATTGGTTGCATGCGTTTTAGAATAACAGTCTACCTTTCTCAAGCTAATGGTATGGTAGAACGTCTTCAGCGAAAGTTGAAGGCTGGGCTATCAGCTGCAAACAATGCACATTGGACTGAATCACTACCGTCAGCTCTTTTGGGGATACGAAACGCCTTGAAAACTGATGCTGATTGAATTAACGCCGAGCTAGTATATGGCACAACATTACGACTGCCAGGTCAGTTTGTTTCCCCCTCGAGCTTCTCACCAGCAGTAGATCACGCCTCATGCATCAGCAGACTTACAAACGAAATGCGTTCAGGATCTCATCATGAGCTGACATTAGTTAGAGAACCATTGGAAAACTTGAAAGGAGTGCTGGACAGCTGTTTCGTTCTAGTTTGGGACTCTTCAACAATACGCACCCACCGAGGTTCTAACCCAGGACCTTATGGTTATAAGGTGAGCTGGCTTGTATACCATTAAGCCACTGGGACTCGATCCAATGACCAGTGCATGAATACGAACTTCTGCCAATTCACGATATAGCGCAACCGCTGGCCAATGTCCTCGGCGAGTATTTGTCCTCACACCCTACCTGCTGCACCCTACTGGTCACGGCTCCTCACTAGAACCCCAGGCAACTACCCACCTGAATAGGGCAAGTCGCTAGCGAGCATCTCATTGGTATTCAAGTATTGTTTTGTAGGGATTTAGTGGGTACGTACTGCTGAAGAGTCCCAAACTAGGACGAAGCTGCTGTCCAGTACTCCTAACTTTTCCAATGGTTCTTTATCTAATGTCAGCTCGTGATGAAATCCTGTAACCAATCAACCAAATCCCTACAAACCAATGCTTGAAATGCGTTCAGTTAAACCTGCTCCCCTTCGGCCACAGTCCATTGACATCTTTGTTCACCTGTGTTTGAAGACTTCTTCACATGTATTTGTTCGTCGTGGCTCTGCGCGTCGACCTCTGGAACCCCCATATGACGGACCATATAAAGTCATTAAACGTATGGATAAATTCTTTGTCTTAAACAAAGAAGACCGCGAGGACTCCGTTAGCATCGACCGTCGGAAACTGACTTACCTAGAAGGCAATCCCATGACCCTAGAACCGAGCATTCCCAATAATACACAAGTAACCGAATATTCCTTAGTCCTCGAAGAAATCATTAGCACAGCGAAAGCCACCAAACCTTCTGTCGAACCCTCAGAGAAAACGCGTTCTGGTTGAAACGTGAGATTCCAAGAACATCTTCACACTTATGTCACATAACTAAGTGGTGCCATTCACCCGATTCTTATTTGTTTGTAGTATTTATTTTTTCTCTCAGACCCATCAATTTTTTATATTACATCCCGCAAAACAATTAAAAAGCTCTTCTATAACCGTACATGTTACATTCACCCAAAATTTAGATGTATACTTTTTCTGGTGTTCTAATTTTTGCATTATTTTATTGTATGGCAGATGCATATCATTTTTCAAAAGTTATTCTTGATACCTCAACCAGGTTCTTAGCATTCTTGTTTTTTTCAGGTGCGACGGCCATTGGACAAGAGGCGAACGAGGCACAAGATTCAGCACACAAACATTAACAAAGCGGTGTGGACATCCTATTAGCATAGGTAGACGACCAGTAGGCACTACATCAGGCCAACCGGAAGAGTTTATACCGATGGTAACACCATTGGGATTTACTTCCGGATAGTTTTGTTTTTGGGTCCTCACAACCCTACTAGGGGGAGTGAGCTGTAGCGGTAGGTAATTCCACGGAAATATCGCCTACTGCATTCATCACTGAACATTGGGTGTTGACCCTTACTGTTTTAGTCAATTTTTTCAGCTGAAGGCTTACGATCAAGCATCCATGCCATTTGGTACGTGTCGTGTCACGATCGTTCTTTCGTGCACGATCACTAGCTAGTTAATCAATCATCTCGTACCCTGATTTGGTCCCGAGATATAACCGGTAATTTGGACGGTCAATTCTAGTGTTTAGCTTTGCTTCTGGCCTACGCCGAACGAATACTATAGAAGTTGTGTGAATCAGATCTTCCGTTAGAATACTGCATACTATCCGTCAGCGTCAATATCCCCGGCTTCTAAATATGCCTTATTTTTCAGATGTATGATATCTGTCAAATATGAAATCTTCGAAGCAGTTTCCCGTCGAACTCGCGTGGACACTCTCCATCGGAATTGCCGTCTGCAAATTGATGAAATGTTGTATAAACTCCTAATTTCTGATTCTTCTGGAATCCTTAAAATCGTTGTATTGCGCTTAGGCGTTATAATGGGTGAAGTTCAGTTAATGTAGGTTTAGTTTAGTCGGTAGGATAGACACTCACTTTAGAGCTATTAGAAAGTTACTTTAGCCATACTTAGAACTTTGCGCCTGTTTCTGTGCAGTGAAACAGAGTGAAAACTGAATAGGTTGTGGCAACTTGAAATATTGTCCTGTTCGATACCCTGGAGCCAGCTGTTCGGGGTGAGACTGATCTCAGATGGTCTTTAGTGCTTCCGGGGTAATTCCGATTCGAAGACTGCCTCGTCCCTCTCATCACACTAGGGTCTACTAGCCTTTAACCACAGCCCCCCGGAGCGGTCAGCCTCAGTCCTTCAACAGTAGTATAAAACCTGGGATAAAGTTGGAGGGCACATCTGATGCTACGAAGGCCGACCCTGTACCAGGAGGAGGCAGCAGGCTGAGGTCACAGTACGTCCCCATGCGTCGGAGACACAACAGAGATACAATACTGATAATGGCAACCAGCGTCTCCCATAGTCCTAACCGAATCCGAGGAAAAAACAATAAGCTGGTTCCATCGGAGTCGGCTAATTAGTTCTCATTTTACATCCCCCACCAGCAGCCAACATAGCGCCAACCACCCAACGACACGCTAAGTTAGTGAGACTCACCATCAGCTACCTATATAGTAATGTCAGGGGGATACGAGAAGAAACAGGTGAACTCAGAAGCCTCCGGTCACATTTACATTTCAAAATAATAACCCTGATTAAAAACTGGCTGGCCCCCACTGTCGCTGACAACGAAATCACTGTAAGTGATATGATTCTGGTCAGGAGGGGCATGAAAATACGGGGGTGGAAGGGCTGCCATATACTTTGACAGGCGACTTAGATGCATGCGTGCAACGGACCCACCAGTCACTGAGCCCCGACGTTCTGAATGCTATCATTTCTCCGTAGACCCCACAAACCACTTATCGGGTGGAATCTACCGGCAACCAACCTAAGGGGCGAAGCACAACCAACTAGAGCGCAGAGCCATCGCAGGGATACTGGACTTGGGCTGTGACCAAGTCACTATAGCTGGAGACTTAAGGGCTTCATCCCGTCACCCTGGCTCGGAGTATGCTCAAGGAAAATTCGATCGAAACCTGCCACACACCATTAGAAATTCAAGGTTGACTGAGAACATTGAAGACGACACTAAGTGAGGCCCTGTTGGAAAGTTATCGGAACTAGAAGATGTCCTAAATAGTGACCAGTGGCTAGTCGAACATATTCAAGTCATGAGCCCCCTAGGAAGCGGTGACCACACAGTCATTTAGTTTGATCTTGTTCCTCGTGGGCGCCTAAAGTTGGACGCCACGCATTCATGCCTGTGCGTGGCTGACTATGTCGGAATGCAGAGATGCAGAATGACCCACAGATTGGCCTGAGTTATCCGTAGGCGAGTGAGATCATTCAGGCAGAAATCTAAGATACCCTCCCTCCAGTCCCACTACAACCTAAGGAACGATCCCCGGGGCTGAGGAGTGGCGCGCGGCACATTCTTCAAGCAAGGCGAAAAGCTTGATCTACATGGGGACTCAAATGAAAAGTAGTGCAACTATGCACATTAAGGTTGCAGAATGTAAGTTACTCCTTGTGTGACGATAAGTTAGGTCTAGTTCCAATAAAAAATGGACACAAGCGTGAATTACACGGGAGATGTAGCTATGGCGTACATGGTTATTTACTTTAAACATAGAAAACTGATTGCACTCGCTCCTGGGATTTATTGAAGGCTGTACAAAACATACGTAAGATCACACCTTGAAGTGCACAATATCACTGGTCCCCAGACAGTTAGAAAAGACACTAACCTTTCGGGAAGAGTTTTAATACTGGAGACTAAAGGATTGATGGGTCTCCGAAATAAATCATACCATAGACGGCCAAAGTCTCTTCCACGCTTCGCCACCGTTTACTTAGGGTTGACTTTGTTACTGTATGTAGGATTGGAAAATATTGTGATAACCCAAGCGAAGGTATTCTGCTATTAAGCACTTACGGAATTTCTCGTGGGAATCCACGAGGGATTGCTCACTAGAGAACAAAGGCCTGAGTCCTCTCCTGTTTGTTTTCACTTCAAATTTTTGGCCACTGGAACTCTTCAACAAAAGACATGGCTACTTCACTGTCGATGGGCGGCTTAAAACAGAAGCCAGATAACCAAGCAGAAATACAGGGACTGAGTTCAAACGACTTGTCCCCTTAATGCTCACACACTATTAATGGGTACGCCCCTAAACTCGTCTTTTTGCTTCTCCAGATTATCTCTTGTCTTACCCTTCTGAGTACTCCAACAGTTAATTCCCTTGTTAATACTGATATGTATGTACATACCAAGTTCAAGACTCAGTAGCTGTTTTTACATTTTTCTTTTTAGGTGAACATAATCTGCACCAATTATATCAGTTATTACTATTGTCATCTCTTTTTTGACTACACTGGGCGACTAAAAAGTGAAAGGATCAACTCCATTCAGAGCGGCAGCAGGATGTTAAAATACAGTATAATACAAACCGCATACAATAAATCCCAGCACCAATACTTTCACAACCAATCAAAGCTACGACGTCGATTGGTCAGCTAATCAGAAGTTTAGCGAACACTAGGAACCTTCTCCTTACAACCGAGAACCGAAGAATCAATTTGGCTAACACTCGCTCTTGAAAATGATATTGAAGATGAATGTTGTTTAGGTGTGTACACGTTAATAGCGCAGTATATGTATTCCTTTACGAGCGCCAACTTGACCAGTCGTAAGGTAATGGCAGCTGTAAAGGTGCTAAGCGTACTGATTATTGTATCTGTTTTTTACTTCGGGTTAACTCGAAGCGAAGCAAATGGACCCAAAGTGACGGATAAAGTAATTCCAATCCTCTGGTAATCATAACCTTTAGGTGTTTTTCGATATTGAGATTGATGGGAATCCGGCAGGTAGAATAGTCATTGGATTGTTTGGCGGGACAGTGCCAAAAACAGTTGAAAATTTCAAGAAAATTGCTATTGGTACTAATCTAGTAAGTATATTCGAGTAAAATAGTACGTGTATGTTTAGAACGATGGTCGATCTGCTTCATACAAGGGAAGTGGTTTTCATCGTGTTATTCGGTCTTTCATGATACAAGGTGGTGACTTTACCAACCATGATGGAACTGGAGGTAACCTTAGATTCTTCTGATGTTTTCAGGATTCAGCATATATGGTGACAAATTTCCAGACGAAAACTTCAAGTTAAAGCACATGGGCGCTGGTTGGGTGTCAATGGCTAATGCTGGTAAGTTTTCCTTTATTGAGATGAAACTGTTTAAGGTCCTGACACAAATGGGAGTCAGTTCTTCATCACCACGGTGAAAACCACATGGTTAGATGGAAAACATGTTGTTTTCGGCAAAGTTGTTGAGGGGATGGTTAGTTTGTCAAACGTTTTAAAAGTTATTTTTTAGAGTGTTGTTAAACAAATTGAAGCAACTCAAACGGACTCTCGTGATAAGCCTGTAAAAAGCATCAAGATCGCAGACTGTGGCCATATTCCCGTTGACGTACCATTTGCGGTAGATAACGGTGATGCAACCGAGTGAAAACTTTGTATTTTCTTTCATTTATGTATATGGTTAATATAGTTTTTTTAAGGTTTTTATAAAGTGTGATCTATATTAAGAAGAATATTTCGCATTTAACTTATACCTTGCGCTGTACTGTCAGTCAGTGTGTTTGGGGTCGTAGTTTCTCACCACTTATTTCAATACGGAGGACTGGGTAGCGTCGTCAGTCCTCATAATGTGACCGGTGGACATGATATGTTCTAAGTAACCTGTGGTTTTTTTGATTGCAAGGAGTTCGCGTTTGTTTTTAAATGACGTTGATTTAAATAGTATTCCAGCAAAGTATATCTAAAGATACTGACGTCCATGGGTTTTCAAACTTTAGGCGAGGTTGCGGGTGGTATTGTTTACGGGACGTGGAAGCAACTTGGACAAAATAAATTTTGTGTGCAGGATGTGATATGTTGAAATATTTAAATCAGAAACAAGGCTATATACAGATTTTTTATTGGTGATAATACTGTTTTAGTTTAGGCCACGTAGGAAGGTGTAGACTTCCGGGTTGGGGTCCTCGGGACGGTAAAAATCAATGGTTGGAAACAGTTGGTGATATGACTCAAAACCGTTCTCAATGGCGCAGATTCATCCATTCCTTGTGACTTATGATTTCCAGTGAAACTATATTGTTCCTCGTTATTACTATTCCTTTGTCTCATACCTCTGTTTACTGTCTCTATTATGCACTTCTACTTTCTTCTCTTGCTTTGTGGGCTACAATGAGGGAGTGTGACCACTTGAACTGCCGCACATATGTGCAAAGTTCTATGTCGAAAGCAGACAGACAGACTGTTTTTTACTATCAATCGCTTAGCTGAGCAGGATAGTGGATAGTATGATGACAGTGATAAGCAATGTTTAGTCGCTGAAGGAGAGCAATAACTTAGTACTATTTCCCTTAATTATTCGACTAGAGCTGTGGGACTACTGTAAGCACGGCTTGCAACCAGCATACACTTCACACTTTTCGTTGGACTTTGAATACTAGATGGTGTCATCAGGGCTGGTTGGAGTTAGATTACAGTTAGTTCAGGGATATTTTTACGTTAGGGTTAGGTTCGAGAAAGATTCGAGTTATTGTTATGGTTAGAAGACCCAAAAAATTACATGTATAGAATGTGGTTAAATTACTCTGTTGATATAAGAATAGAACTTGTGCTCTGTGGTACAGTATAATTCCACTGTGGCTATATTTAATTCGATAGTCTCACGGTGTTATACAGTAATATTTACAGATGAAGTGTCAAGCACAATTTATTGCCCTGTAGATATTACTACATTACACTATGAGACTTTATCAAAATAGATTTTGCCCACAATGAAGTTATGCTTTGTTGATACTCCAACCTAAAACTGGGAGCCATTTTTATCACATGTGAGAGGAAGGTATCCTCTGTAATACTTTTCAACGGTTTCATGTATCTTTTTCATAAATATATGTATTCCATACACAAAATGACTCCTTCACGTGATTGGTCCGTTCGAAGTCATCCGCTGATTGCTAGTTAGTGTTGCTTAAATTTTTAACTTTGCCGAATGAAACAGTCAAAATCTGGCTGCCTGATATAAGGATAGCTCATAGTGCATTATAATAATAACGTAAATTTTCATGCAAATTTATGTGTTTATATGAAAATATACATTATTATTATAATGCATTATGAACTATCCTTTGAATCAGTTTTTTTCATTTTGCACGCTGTTCCTAGCAGCTACCTTGCATGTTGGTTGAAATTTCACTTTGTAAATATCTTTTTTAAGTGATTCACACTAAAGATGCATGATGCGCAGTCTAAAATTGTGGAGCCTCTGATATTCCTAGGTGGAATATCGTTGTTAGCGTTAGGACCTGACTGTGGTACATTCTTGGCATGCTAGTTGCAAGTGTTTGTGCCTCAGATGAACCTGTGAAATATTGCTTTAACGAGTAGGATGAAGTAATTGGGGGTAATGTCATCTACTTGAATAGTCAAATTTGTATAAGAAGCTGCTTTTTTCGGCATAGCACCATTCTATTACGAATATATGTCTCAGCTTATCCATGCAGCTTGTCTTCAAGAGAGCACATCTCAAAAACCTGCTCACCTACATGAGGTTGACATGGACGCACAAACTATGGCTGACCAGAAACTACTGGCAGACCACACTCAGTCTGGATCCAAGCCAGAGGGTCCCGCAGTAGAAGGTGCAAAAAGAACACAAAACCAGTCCCACCCCAGACTTCGACATACCTCCCTCGTACTAAGTCTAATAAGCAGCATGTCAGTCTACAAAATGACAAAGCATGGGTAACGAAACACATTCCCAAAAACGTCACGCAGCATGTGAGTAGGAATACCCTTCCCGAACTAGAAGTAACACGCCTAGCAACGCACATAACTTGGGAGTGCAACGTACAACGGATCCTCAGGATATATGGAGTACTAAACGGGACTCATATAGGCACCATATTAACGAAACTCTCTTCCAAACTCTCGCACTATGTTAAGCCTCATCAACATAATGAGTATGGGTCGACACTTGATCCCCTCAATAACTTCATCCACACACATGATGTGGGCCAATATGCATACGACTACGAAAGCCCCATGAGGTACAACTACCAGGGTAATCTTAACACAGGGTACCTAGGTCCAGCAAACTACAACGCAAATTGCAAGGCAGACCATATATCACCAGTAGATGAACGCAGATACCAACCCATGGATGCCAAAAGTCAAAATATGCAACAGGATTATTTTAGGCTGCAGCAAACAATAGCCCCACTCGCTGCACAGTTCATCCAGGAAATGGTACACACACTGACTCTGTCTCACCTTAGAGCCCCTCCAAACACAACGTAAGGATAGTAACAAGTAACCATGATAACCTCTCCTCCTATAACTCTGGTTTACTAACAGTTATGCTCCTGAATGCTAGATCTCTCCTTAATAAAATAACAACGCTTCGCTGCCTGGCATACATAGAACGGCCAACACTAATAATGGTGACTGAAACCTGACTAAACACTGCGGTACGTTCGAACCTGGTGAAACTTTTGCACGTGTTTTCGCTGACATTCATTTTTCTGTTCTGCTATATTATCACCAATAATAATGGGCAAAAGCTATAAAAAAACATGTTCTTAGAGACACTAGTAATTTAGAAAATAGCTTAAGCTTATCGAGTAACGCATTATCACCCCTTAAATCAGCTGCAATTAGTAGTTCACCCAATACAAACGGTTCCAACTTAATGCTAACCCCTGTAATACAAGTGGAAAATATCCTGTCAGAAAAGGCAGAGATTACTAACTTAATCTGCATCATAAACGACATGCAGCTACAAATAAATGAACTCAGGACGAAACTAAATCTACTTGACCTGGTACCAGAAATAATCCTCCATCTTAAATAAGAACTGGGGGATCTCACTTTCCCAAAACTCTTTAAGCTCAGGACTAAACCGACCGATGCTGAATTGGAACATGCTAAGGAGCTAGAAAACGCCATGGACTATTTATCGAGCGAAGTTGTTAAGAGACTTGCTTCTAAACAGAACGCTATAGTGTACAACATACCTGACAATGAGCCCATAAAATCGGTTCGGTACTCCCTGTTAAGAGTTGCCAACCTCTTATGTACACCCTGTCAGTGTATTAGACCAAATAAAAAAGAGACAAACCGCACATGTCCCATACTTTTCAGGTTTGATAGCTGTATTATAGCCGAACAATCCAGAAAATCTGGGGATATTTTGGCTTCCACTACAAAATTCAAAAATCTTAAAATAGTCACGGACAAAACCCCCAACCAACGACAAGTAGCTTAGAACACCATAGATACGAACACGATTATACCACAAATCGTGAATAGCGTCAGTACCGAAGTGTCGAAGGACACTGAAGCACAAATTGACACTTGTACTGTAGTAGGTGAACAAACGACACGCGAAGGTAAAGGGAAACCCAAAGGGGGCAGTAACACTGCAATTAGTCTCGAAGTTCGTGAGAACACTACTAGTAAATCTACCGACCACACACATGAAATAGACGTAGATGCTACTACTACCGATAACCTGCAAATATCGGCAGATCACACTGCACCCAGGGCCAAACAAGATAATCCCACTGTAAAATCCGCAAAGAAGTCCCCTAAAACCAAGGTTTCTCCTCATGCGTCCATATACCTCCCCTAAGAGAAGCCCAACAAGCAGTATATAAGCCTAAAAAAGAACTATGCACGCATTGTGGCGGGTCCCATAAAGGAGATGGAAGACGTGAGTGGAAGTGCTCTTCGTCGAACCAAGAGTAGTAGACGAAGTGAGGACGACAGAATATACGGGGTGAGAACTAACAGCGAAAATAGCTTTAACCACACAAAATCACACGCCAGCAGACATGCAAGGGGCGCGGAGCTGATTAAACATCAGAGTGATACCCACGAGTACCGCAATAGCCGAGGTTGTAATATGCCTGTAGGCACATATGACCTGGGGACGGGACCCATAATTAATAATGAAAACACATGGGCTACCAAACTGGACACCACTAGGTACCATATCAACGGAAATGTATGCTCGAACCCTCGTAGTAGTTACTTAAAGCCCCATCGGCATAACGGGTATAGATTGGCACCTGGTCCTTCTAGGTACGACTACGTAAAACCTAGCACGCACTATCCTCAAAACAACCTAAAAACAGGGTACTATGGTCCTGTAAATTACAATGTGAACAGTGAAACAGATTATAATAATAATAATAATAATAATGTATATTCTCATATAAACATATAAATTTACATGAAAATGCATGCCATTTTTACAGGCACGATCAAGTATGATATAATATCAAATCGTAGATTGTCTACAAGTTAATAATGTTTCAACAGTTAAATATTTGATATATATATAAATACACATTGTCTGAACTAGGCTGTATAGTTATTGAGTTGTACAGTTGTCCTCCAGGTTGAGCGGGAAAATCGACTTCGTTTCGTTTT